AACATATGATTAGTGTGTTTTTGTTGAAAATTATAATATAGACAATAATGATCCATCTTTATTAAATAATTTTTGAGACAATATATGATTAGTGTGTTTTTGTATAACTCATCTATCAAGTTTATAAATAATGTCGCATAGTATTATGGAATACTAATAATTTGGAGAATTCCACCATACACATCCATTTATCATATGCATCATTAGTTATGTCATTTTTTTTTCTTTAGTTATGATGAATTATCTTCGTTAATTTTGATATTATTTTAGTTAAGACTTATAAGATCTTTGGTTGTGCCTCATGTGGTGTTTGGTTATGATTTATTTATTTTTTTAGTTATGAGTCAGAAAGTATGAAATTATATCATTTTTTTCTTCAATTAATTGATCTCACGTGTTGTTGTATAAGTATCTCATTTTTTATGTTCTCCTATCAAATCGGTAAATAACTAACTAAGATAAGACCACCTACCTATTTGAGAGAAATTTGACGGACAGGTATCATGGTACATGAATACATAGGTATTATATTTAGAGTTACTTTGATGAGATATTTTTGTGGATGTGTACAAATGATGGATAAGAGTTGGATTGATTTGCCAAATAGGATGTCGAGCGAATACATTAATGGGATTGATGAAGTCCTTATGTTTGCCTACACCAATAGGGTTGAAGGTTCGATGATCAGTTGTCCGTGTAGAAAGTGCGAGAATCGATACCATCTTGCACGAAAGGGTGTACGGGAGAATCTGATTTTGAATGGTTTTTTAAAAAAATACAAACATTAAATTAATCATGGGGAATTTTACGTATCTTTGCATGGTAATCGAGAGAATGAAACATTAGCTAATTTAGACATTGGGGATGATATGATTGGAATGATACAAGGGGCTATGGGAAATCCACATGCCAGTACAAGTGCTGAGGGTAATGAACCACAGAGGCCTAATCCCCATGCATCTGAACCCCAGCTCGGTCCAAATGCAGAGACTGCAAAGTATTTCAAACTTCTCCAAGATGCATAAAATGAATTGTATCCGGGTTGTCAGAAGTTCACTTCTTTGTCATTCATTGTTCGACTTCTACATTTGAAGGTACTTAATCAGTGGACAGACAAGTCTGTTGACATGTTGCTTGAGTTATTGAATGAGGCGTTCCCGTTGGGTATGAAACTCTCAGACTCATATTTTAAAGCTCAAAAGGTCATAACAAATTTGGGCTTCACATATGAGACGTGGGATGCATGTTCGAACAGTTGCATGTTGTTTCGAAACGAGGACACCAATCTTGATAAATGTGTCATATGCAACAGTTCTAGATGGAAATCAAATGGTGATGGTGGTTCAAATGGTCCTAACAAAGGTGGCAAACGAATAGCTGCAAAACAGATGAGGTATTTTGCTTTACAGCCAAGGTTGCAGAGGTTATTTATGTCATCCAAGATGGCCAAGTTAATGAGATGGCATGCAGAGGAACGAACTGATGATGGTGTCTTTAGGCATCCTGCTGACTCTCTTGCATGGAAAGATTTTGACCGTCGGAATATTGACTTTAGTAATGATTACCGAAGTGTAAGGCTTGGCTTAGCATCTGATGATTTTAACCCATTCAGGACGATGAACATAGTTCATAGCACTTGGCTTGTTGTGCTCATTCCATACAACTTGCCGCCATGGATGTGCATGAAGCAACCATTTCTAATTTTATCCGTGCTTATTGATGGCCCGAAAGGACTTGGTGACAAGATTGATGTGTATATGCAACCGCTGATTGAGGAGTTGAAAGAACTATGGAATGAGGGTGTGTCAACATTTGACGCATCAACAAATCAAATGTTTCAAATGCATGCAGCTTTACTGTGGACAATTAGTGATTTTCTTGCATACGCAAACTTGTCAGGATGGAGCACTAAAGGCGAATATGCATGCCCTTATTACAATAAGGAAACTACATCGTGTTGGTTGAAGCATAGTAGAAAACAATCATACTTAGGTCATCGCAGATTTTTACCTACTGGCCATAAATTCCGGAAGGATAAAGTATCATTTGATGGTAGTTGGGAAGTCAGACTCAAACCAAAATTGTTGTCTGGAACTGAGATATTGCTACAGTTAGAATCTGAGGGTATTTTAACCCAATACAAGAGAGATGACCTTAAGGAGAGGCATAGGAGATAGGTAGAGAAGGAGAAAGCTGGACATCGCACCCATAGCTGGAAGAAAAAGAGTATCTTTTATAAACTGCCATATTGGGAGCATAATCTAATAAGACACAATCTCGATGTGATGCATATAGAGAAGAATGTTTGTGACAATGTGTTGTAGACAATATTAGGGGTTGCAGGAAAATCGAAGGATGGTGTTAATGCTCGGTGTGATTTACAAGATATGAATATTAGAAAACCCTTACATTTGCAATTAAGAGAGTTAAATAAAGCCTATTTACCACCAGCATAATTCACGATGACCAAGGATGAGAAAGATTTTTTCTTGAAAATGTTGAAGGAAGTAAGAGTTCCCGACGGGTATTCATCTAATATATCACATCGTGTGCGCTCACATGATAGAAGTATTGGGGGTCTTAAGAGCCACGATAGTCATATTTTGATGCAACAACTTATTCCATTGGCTATTCGAAGATCGTTACCGAAGAATGTAATTGAACCCTTGATTGAATTGAGTAATTTGTTTAGACAATTGTGTTCCAAAGTGAATCGTGCGACGGATTTGCAATATATTCAAGACCGTATCGTTGTAACACTTTGTCATCTAGAGAAAATATTTCCTTCCGATTTTTTTGATATAATGAAGCACTTGCCTATACATCTAGCTGATGAAGCATTATTGGGTGGAGCGATTCAGTTTCGATGGATGTATCCAATTGAGAGGTATCTTTTTACTTTGAAGCAATACATGCGTAATAGAGCTCATCCTGAAAGATCAATTGCTAAAGGATATCTTATGGAAGAATGCATGAATTTTTGTGCACAATATCTCAATGATATGGAAACCAAATCTACTCGACCCATGAGGAACTATAGTGGTGCTAATAATCTAGGTCATGCTATTGGTGAAAACACAAGCTTTTATCTTGATAATACTTCTTGGGTATAAGCTCATCGGTACATCTTATTCAATAAAAGCGCGGTTCAACCATTCATAAAGTAGATATGAGTTCGTCTGATCCACAAATCGAGCCATATATGAGCCAACAATTGGAAGAAAATATAATACTTCGTGATGAAGAAGTTGGTTGGGTGAGGGAAACCGCAGAAGGGGAAACAGTTGATGTTCAAATAGACTGATATTTAATCAACACCAGTAATTCAATTAAGGCCAAGGTTGTAGTTAATCTTCAGTTTCTTAATTTACTTTGTCTTTGTAATTGTATTAGTTCAATTAATGTCATATTATAGTTGATGATAAACCATTGTCTATGTTTCTAATGTCAATTAATGTTATATTGCTTGCAGATTACTATGGGAAGGAAGAGGAAGCCTGATCATCCCCAGCGAATGATGTCTGATGTGCTACATAACAGGACATCAGTAGCACCACCATCAGAGGAGGCATCTCATCGGCCACCATCGGAGCGGCCAGTAGTGCCACCACCATCTAACCAGCCATCGCAGCGACCACTATTACTGGCACCATGATTAGAGAAGGCATCCCAGCGACCACCATCAGAGGGGCCATTAATACCACCGCATCGACCACCATCAGTGGCACCACAGCAGCTACCATGTACTTAGCCTCCACGCCTACCATCGGTGCGTCCACCATCAGTGGCACCACAGCAGCTATCATCCCGACTAGAGTCATCAACTTATGAGTCATCCGCAAGTATATAAATTTGCTTTGATTTGTATGGAAATTATTTAAACATACATTTATTTATTCTCATTATATATAACTTGTTTATTCTCATTGTATTTTGCAGACCCTTCGACTTCTTCACAGCCCACCTTAGGTATAAGAATTCGATTTGTATTCACATTATTCAAATTTGCATTTGTTTATTATCATTGCATATTGTTTATTGTTATTGTACCTCGCAGTTCATGTTAGTTCTTCATCAATCTCGACTAGGCGTGGTAGAGGATATGCCAAGGGCATTAGGGAGTGGGGGACTGGTAAAAGGCTGGACATATAATTTGATGAAAATTACTGCCCAATAGGGGATAACGTGGCTAAGTTAACTACTCAACTTGGCATTATTGTGCGGAATGGTAACATTGTTCCTCTTACTTTTCTTGACTGGAACAATGTGCCTGATGATATTGTTGATGCTATTTGGAAGGACTTGCATATGCCCGTGCCTGAAGGCATGGTGTAAATAATGTTAGGATTATAATATAATTATAATCGCAACACTATTTAAATTTAAGATTAAAATACAATTATAAAAATATATTTAATAGACTATACTCTACAATTCCAAACAAATCAAATATAAAAAAAATTAAATATCAAATAATGCACACCTTTCAATAATTTTTCTGTTGGTAAACCATAACAGTAATAATTTTTCTCTGAATTTTATCTATCATTTTTTTTTAGTCTGTTGCAATTTGTTTCAACAACAACAACTAAAAAAAAAATTAAAAAAAGAGGAGGCATTTGCTCGAATCTGAGCCTTGAACACATATATGAGCTCAAATCTTTTTTTTTTCTTTTATAAAAATTAAAAAAAAAATAAAAAAGGCCTCAGATCTATCTTACTCTCTTTCTCTCTTATCTGTTGAAAATATCTAAGCAGCAAATAATTAAGACACTTTAAAGAAGTGTCGGACACACTTACAGAAGTGTCGGACACACTTACAGAAGTGTTGGACACACTTATAGAAGTGGCCAAAGAGTTTCAGTGTCTGACATGGGTGTCCAACACGACACACTTTCTCCTTAGAAGTGTTCATGCTTCTTTGGATCTATCTATCCTCTTCTCTCTCTAAGAAACTTAGTCCCTCTCATCTAAAACAATGGAAGTTATATTTTAAAGTGGGTAGAAGAAAATGGTTCAATCGTTATTTTTAGTAACAACAAATAAACATATACAAAAAATTTAGAGCTTCAATAGCAAAGCGTACATAATGAAATAACATGTAACATAATGAAAAATCACATGGGAGATGGGGTCTGAGGGTTGTTAATAATGATGGTGAGGTTGGTGAGTTGAGGTGCAAATGGTGAGGTTGAGTTTCTAATTTGTTGTGCTTTCTTAATCTTCGCAGCTGGCAATGAGCAGGAGGGCTGAGGAGAACAAGTTCCGTGTATATGAGTTCGGTGGTTCTGAAACTTTAGGTTCAGCTTTGCGAGTTCAACCTTGCTCAGATGAAGCTCAAGACCTGTCAAAATGTTCAATCCAGTGGTATCGTATACCGACTGAAGGTAGCAGAAGGGAACTTATTTCAGGTATCCATTCTGTTTTCTTGAATGTGTGGTTGACTTTGTTACAGTGCTTATCTTGGACAACTTTTAAATTATGCAGCTTAAATGGAAAATCATATTTACTGCTGTGATGTATTTAGCACAGAGTGCAGTAGTATCAAGTTCTCTATTGATGTCTTTTGTTTTAAACTATAATATATATCTCAAAAAGTTTTGATTTCCTAAATAGTGAGTACCCAGTGCATAACTAAGGATGTATTTTAATAATGGTCACTATGGTAGTGTTTAAACCCCTCACTTTACCTGCTCCTGCATGTTCTGACTCTGATACCATGTTACATGGTCTTGGATAAAACTCAACTCTAAAAGTTAGTTGTTGAGTTGAGGATGCCCTTACATTTGTATACTACACATTACCTTTGTACCTAGGCGATGTGAGACGTCGCTTCACACACTTGAACCAGAGACCTTTGTCTCAAAGGTAAGTGCTGAAGTGCCCCGTAATTTTTTTATTAACCCAAGGGTGTTGTTAGGCCTTGCTCCTGACCTAGACTGGCATAGTGCATTAGAGTATATCATGGAGAGGGGGCCAAAGCAATGGAGATAGAGGATATACTCAGAAGATATGTTTGGACAGAGGGTACTACTCAAATGGAGGCTATGCTTGGCCGAGCTCTTGGACCCGAGCATATAGCACCGAGTATTTGAATTTTCGGATTAAATAACCTCTGGCCTGAGACTAACCTAAGTTTTGACACGATTCTTATCTGTCAGCCTATCCCTCTGAATGCCTATTGGTTAAATTACTACACTCTAAAATTCATTGGCTTCTTAATTTGGACAATATGATGCCAATGGGTAACCTTTTGTGTTGAGTGGATCTGATTCCTTCATTGTTTCCTTAAATTGCGGTGGAGTCAAGTGGATCTGCAACATGTTTCAGTCAGCTGGCCACATAGCTTTTGCTTCCTCTTAGAATATGCCGTGCTCATCTACTACTAGAAATGTAACTTAGACAACATTACTTAAGTTTGCATTCCAGTGTCTTTTTCTTGAAGCAGTTATTATTTATTTATTATTAGTTTTTTCACATTTAGCGGATGGGATGTTGTATACGTATTGTTGATGATGTTCATCAATTCAGGAAAATAATTATTATGTCTAGAAGATATGGTTAGTTGAAACCAGTATTTCGAAATATATTTACTTTTCTGCAATTGAATTTCCACTAGGTATCTGTTTTCGTAATATAGGATTCACTTGCTTCTCTCTAATCACTTTATATACTTGAGTGCATATACTTTCCAAAAATAGATTTATGTCTTAAGTTGGAATACATTTTAATGTTAAAATACACGTGTTGGATTATATTCGGAGTTCATATGTTGTTTCCTTTTCTATTGGGTGCAACAAAAATATTAAGTTCTGAACTACCTTTGTTTCTCCATGCTGCATTTGCTTTCTCCTCACTAGTTTGACTGTCCACATCTTCAGGTGCCAACAAATCAATCTATTCTCCAGAGCACTTTGATGTTGGGCGATTTTTGGAAGTTGATGTTGTCTCAGCTGGCCAAAAGGTTGTTGTGACAACTTCTGGTCCCATAGGTCCAGGTCAGTACCTTTAATGTTCGATGTGATTTATGTAAATATAAATACTAACTCTCGTCAAGTCATCCTTTTCCCTTTTGTTATCTGTTTCTCATCGTTTGAGCTAAAATGGTCATGACCAAGCCATCTAATTTTAGTTTTTTTTATGTTTGGTGCTCATCCCTAATTTGATGTGTACAGAAAGTTGAATATTGATCTGACTTTAAGTTGTTTCCAACAGCTGCGGGATTGGCCAGTTATGTGGAGACGCTTTTACGGAAACCCAACACTGAATTTAATGTATGTTACTTTATTTCTTTGTCATATTTCCACTTCTAACAAATTATTTCTATCACGTGCCAAAATTTTACACCATGTATTTATAAGTTTTTATTTTCATGTGGACTGCTTGCTTTTTAGTCTTATTCTCTCTGGTTAGTAGAGGTATTTGTTCTCATGTCACCAAGTCAGCACTGTTGGATCATATTTTTATACTCCTTCAGATTTTTTATTCTTGATGATTTTAATTAATTACATTCCATCAATAGGGTCTCTGGTAATTTTTTGGTACTGATTGTCACGAGATTAGGGAGTAATGGTTTTGATGACATAATTGTTCTGGAAAAGGACCAACTCTGGATTATTTCTTTCTTTCGTTTATTTGTCTTTTTTGGGCAGTAGCTAAAATGCCTACATGGATACTTCAAAAATGTGTACAAGAAATACTTTTTGTTTCTAACCCCTACTGCCAAACACGTTAGAAATATAGGCAAACAAATTCAATATGTGATAGATTCATTAAGGGTGACCTAAATGAATATCACTCAGAATGAATTTAGATCAAACAATTCTATATATATATTTTGTGAGTTGGAGGTCATAGTTCAGGAAGGAGAAATCTTCCTTGACTCTTAACAAGGCAATTAACAAGGCACAAAATTTTGATCAGCCCAATTAGATCCACTTGGTTCACAAAATTAATTTTTTTATGCTTCTTTTTTACCTTATATATGCGTAACTGTTTTAAATCACATATAGTAGGTTTAACATATATGACTCTTGGGACATGCACGAGGAAATGATAACGAACTTAGAATAGTTTTACAAGACGGTATAGAGCTTTCCTGCCCTCAGAATTGTAGGGTAATGATATGTATAATTTTTGGTTATTTCTTCGTTATATTCATTTTTTTTAATCTGGAGATACTTGATAATGTTTCTTATAGTACTCATATAGATTATCTTGCCAGGTTTTGTAATGTCATGTAAGATGAGTGATTTTGGAATTGGTTGTTTTGTTTGGTTAATGCTAAAAAGTCTGCCACTTGACGCCAAAGAAATTCGAGGGTCCTATATATGGGCTCCTGCTGATGACGAATTGATTTTTCTCTATTTAATTATGCATTTTTCTTTCCTACAAGTATGACATAATTCTCTCTATTGCAGCTAAAACTACCCTATCAAATTGTGGCTATTGTTTCCGGTGCTTTGAATGATACAGCTGCAAAGAAGTATGATTTGGAAGGATGGTTTCCTGCATCCAGCACTTACAAAGAACTTGTTTCCTGTTCAAACTGCACTGACTATCAGTCCAACAGATTAGAGATTCGATATGGGTAGAAAAAGGGTAGACTAGTAGTAATATTTTTAGATACACTAGTAGTTATATTTTTGGATACACTAGTAGTTATATTTTTGGATACACTAGTAGTTATATTTTTGGATACACTAGTAGTTATATTTTTGGATACACTAGTAGTTATATTTTTGGATACACTAGTAGTTATATTTTTGGATACACTAGTAGTTATATTTTTGGATACACTAGTAGTTATATTTTTGGATACACTAGTAGTTATATTTTTGAATAATTTTATGTTATACTTTTCATTCTTTCACTTTGTAATTGTTATGCTTTTTTGTTAAAATTTTTTTTTTTTTTATTGTACTGCTGTTTTCACCTTCGTTTATTATTAGAGCATTCAGATCAAAATCAGTAACTTTAAATCAAATTATAATAAAATTATTACATTCGTATTTTAGCTAGCATCCATTGGCGACCAAAATTTTTGGTCGCGAAATGTCACAATTGGCGACCAAACTAATTTTTGGTCGCGAAATGTGACAATTGGCGACTAAGAAATTTGGTCGGTAAAAGGCAACTTTTCGCGACCAAAATGTTTTAGCGACAAAATGGATTAGTCGCAGTAAATAAATATTTAGCGACCAAAAATTTAGTCGGCAAATGTAACTTTTCCCGACCAACGAAAATTTTGGTCGCGAATTACTTTTGCCGACCCTCAATTGGCGACCAAACTAGCGACAAAAAAAATTGGTCGCGGATAACTTTTGCCGACCAAAAATAGACTTTGAGCGACTAATTTTTTTGTTGCCAAAAGTGTTAATTCTTGTAGTGATAAGTGCTGAGGGTAATGAACCACAGAGGCCTAATCCCCATGCATCTGAACCCCAGCTCGGTCCAAATGCAGAGACTACAAAGTATTTCAAACTTCTTCAAGATGCACAAAATGAATTGTATCCGAGTTGTCAGAAGTTCACTTCTTTGTCATTCATTGTTCGACTTCTACATTTGAAGGCGCTTAATCAGTGGACAGACAAATCTGTTGACATGTTGCATGAGTTATTGAATGAGGCGTTCCCGTTGGGTATGAAACTCTCAGACTCATATTTTAAAGCTCAAAAGGTTATAACAAATTTGGGCTTCACGTATGAGACGTGGGATGCATGTTCGAACAGTTGCATGTTGTTTCGAAACGAGGACACCAATCTTGATAAATGTGTCATATGCAACAGTTCTAGATGGAAATCAAATGGTGATGGTGGTTCAAATGGTCCTAACAAAGGTGGCAAACGAATAGCTGCAAAATAGATAAGGTATTTTCCTTTACAGCCAAGGTTGGAGAGGTTATTTATATCATCCAAGATGGCCAAGTTAATGAGATGGCATGCAGAGGAACGAACTGATGATGGTGTCTTTAGGCATCCTGCTGACTCCCTTACATGTAAAGATTTTGACCGTCGGAATATTGATTTTAGTAATGATTACCAAAGTGTAAGGCTTGGCTTAGCATCTGATGATTTTAACCCATTCAGGACAATGAACATAGTTCATAGCACTTAGCTTGTTGTGCTCATTCCATACAACTTGCCGCCATGGATGTGCATAAAGCAACAATTTCTAATTTTATCCGTGCTTATTGACGGCCCGAAAGGACCTGGTGACAAGATTGATGTGTATATGCAACCGTTGATTGAGGAGTTGAAAGAACTATAGAATGAGGGTGTGTCAACATTTGACGCATCAACAAATCAAATGTTTCAAATGCATTCAGCTTTACTGTGGACAATTAGTGATTTTCCTGCATACGCAAACTTGTCAGGATGGAGCACTAAAGGCGAATATGCATGTCCATATTACAATAAGGAAACTACATCGTGTTGGTTGAAGCATAGTAGAAAACAATCATACTTAGGTCATCGCCGATTTTTACCTACTGGCCATAAATTCCGGAAGGATAAAGTATCATTTGATGGTAGTCGGGAAGTTAGACTCAAACCAAAATTGTTGTCTGGAACTGAGATATTGCTACAATTAGAATCTGAGGGTATTTTAACCCAATACAAGAGGGATGACCTTAAAGAGAGGCATAGGAGACAGGTAAAGAAGGAGAAAGATGGACATCGCACCCATAGCTGGAAGAAAAAGAGTATCTTTTATAAACTGCCATATTGGGAGCATAATCTAATAAGACACAATCTCGATGTGATGCATATAGAGAAGAATGTTTGTAACAATGTGTTGTGGACAATATTAGGGGTTGCAGGAAAATCGAAGGATGGTGTTAATGCTCGGTGTGATTTACAAGATATGAATATTAGAAAACCCTTACATTTGCAGTTAAGAGAGTTGAATAAAGCCTATTTACCACCAGCATAATTCACGATGACCAAGGATGAGAAAGATTTGTTCTTGAAAATGTTGAAGGAAGAAAGAGTTCCCGACGGGTATTCATCTAATATATCACATCGTGTGCGCTCACATGATAGAAGTATTGGAGGTCTTAAGAGCCACGATAGTCATATTCTGATGCAACAACTTATTCCATTGGCTATTCGAAGATCGTTACCGAAGAATGTAATTGAACCCTTGATTGAATTGAGCAATTTATTTAGACAATTGTGTTCCAAAGTGAATCGTGCGACGGATTTGCAATATATTCAAGATCGTATCGTTGTAACTCTTTGTCATCTAGAGAAAATATTTCCTCCTAGTTTTTTTGATATAATGGAGCACTTGCATATACATCTAGCTGATGAAGCATTATTGGGTGGAGCGATTCAATTTCGATGGATGTATCCAATTGAGAGGTATCTTTTTACTTTGAAGCAATACGTGCATAATAAAGCTCATCCTGAAAGATCAATTGCTAAAGGATATCTTATGGAAGAATGCATGAATTTTTGTGCACAATATCTCAATGATGTGGAAACCAAATCTACTCGACCCATGAGGAACTATAGTGGTGTTGATAATCTGGGTCATGCTATTGGTGAAAACACAAGCTTTTATCTTGATAATACTTCTTGGGTATAAGCTCATCGGTATATCTTATTCAATACAAGCGTGGTTCAACCATTCATAAAGTAGATATGAGTTCGTCTGATCCACAAATCAAGCCATATATGAGCCAACAATTGGAAGAAAATATAATGCTTCGTGATGAAGAAGTTGGTTGGGTGAGGGAAACCGCAGAAGGGGAAACAGTTGATGTTCAAATAGACTGATATTTAATCAACACCAGTAATTCAATTAAGGCCAAGGTTGTAGTTAATCTTTAGTTTCTTAATTTACTTTGTCTTTGTAATTGTATTAGTTCAATTAATGTCATATTATAGTTGATGATAAACCATTGTCTATGTTTCTAATGTCAATTAATGTTATATTGCTTGCAGATTACTATGGGAAGGAAGAGGAAGCCTAATCATCCCCGGCGAATGATGTCTGATGTGCTACATAACAGGACATCAATAGCACCACCATCAGAGGAGGCATCACATCGGCCACCATCGGAGCGGCCAGTAGTGCCACCACCATCTGACCAGCCATCGCAGCGACCACTATTACTGGCACCACCATTAGAGGAGGCATCCCAGCGACCACCATCAGAGGGGCCATTAGTACCACCGCATCGACCACCATCAGTGGCACCACAACAGCTACCATGTACTCAGCCTCCACGCCTACCATCGGTGCATCCACCATCAGTGGCACCACAGCAGCTATCATCTCGACTAGAGTCATCAGCTTATGAGCCATCCGCAGGTATATAAATTTGCTTTGATTTATATGAAAATTATTTAAACATACATTTATTTATTCTCATTATATATAACTTGTTTATTCTCATTGTATTTTGCAGACCCTTCGACTTCTTCACAGCCCACCTTAAGTATAAGAATTCGATTTGTATTCACATTATTCAAATTTGCATTTGTTTATTATCATTGCATATTGTTTATTGTTATTGTACCTCACAGTTCATGTTAGTTCTTCATCAATCTCGACTAGGCGTGGTGGAGGATGTGCCAAGGGCATTAGGGAGTGGGGGACTGGTAAAAAGCTGGACATACAATTTGATGAAAATTACTGCCCAATAGGGGATAACGTGGCTAAGTTAACTACTCAACTTAGCATTATTGTTCGGAATGGTAACATTGTTCCTCTTACTTTTCTTGACTGGAACAATGTGCCTGATGATATTGTTGATGCTATTTGGAAGGACTTGCGTATGCCCGTGCCTGAAGGCATGGTGTAAATAATGTTAGGATTATAATATAATTATAATCGCAACACTATTTAAATTTAAGATTAAAATACAATTATAAAAATATATTTAATAGACTATACTCTACAATTCCAAACAAATCAAATATAAAAAAAATTAAATATCAAATAATGCACACCTTTTAATAATTTTTCTGTTGGTAAACCATAACAGTAATAATTTTTCTCTGAATTTTATCTGTCATTTTATTTTTTAGTCTGTTGCAATTTGTTTCAACAACAACAACTAAAAAAAAAAATTAAAAAAAGAGGAGGCATTTGCTCGAATCTGAGCCTTGAACACATATATGAGCTCAAATATTTTTTTTTTCTTTTATAAAAATTAAAAAATAAATAAAAAAGGCCTCAGATCTATCTTACTCTCTTTCTCTCTTATCTGTTGAAAATATCTAAGTAGCAAATAAAGAAATGATAAAAGAGAGGACCTCTCCTGTGAAGCAATTCATCAAGCATTTAGTAGGCAAAGGAGAATAAGGTATATTTGTTGATCCAACTTACCAATTACCAATATTGCTTAACTAAAGAAATTAAAATCACAAATCTAACAGAGAAGCAACAATAAATTGTAAACAACGTAAAATTAATTTTTATTGATACAATAGTCAAAAATAAACAATTTCTCTAAAATTAATATTACTATATAACATTCTAATAATTTAATATAAGACTTATTCCACACTTTATAAATAACGTAAAATTTATTATTTTAAGTAATGTATTAATTATTTGATTTTTTTTTAAAGATAAGGATAAA